ATTAGAGTTTGTAGTATACTTAGTTCGAGCTATCATTTCCTCTAGTTTTCCATAACGTAGTTGTTGGAATTTGTCTTCATTGAACATCATATTGTTCTCCGCTGCACATTGGAAAACTTGGTTTATATCTTCTTGGAGATTTACCGTGTCCTCAGTGGACGACAGTCTCATGCAGATCCAGTATCGTCTGCAAAGGATGATACAATGCTATGGTTTATATCTGTATGTCTGATATGAGGATGAGGAACAGGATAGGGGCAAATACTGAGCCTTGTGGAGCAGAGCTCTTCACTATGGCAGCTTCAGATTTAATTCTGTTAACCACTACTCTTTGTGTTTGATTGGTTGGAAAGTTGAAGATCCATCTCCCCACTTTGCCGGTTATCCCTTTAGAGCGGATTTTGTGTGCTGTTACACCATGATCGCACTTGTTAAAGCCTTTTCCATTATTATTATTATAATCAAAAAGAAGCGCTAAGCCACAAGGGCTATACAGCCAAAAAGCCTTTTCCAAAATCTGTGTATACTACATCTGCATTCTGTTGGTTTTCAAGTGCATTCAAGACCATATCATAGTGGTTCAGTAGTTGGGAGAGGCAGGAACGACTTGCTCTGAACCCATGTTGCCCTAGATTGTGCAGTTGTTGGGAGTCCAAGTGGTTTGCAATCCTGCTTTAGAATTCTTTCAAAGATTTTTATGATATGGGATGTTAAAGCTATTGGTTTATAGTTCTTAGATATTGCTTTGCTGCCACCTTTATGGAGTGGGGCTATGTTGCGAATAAGAAATTTGATAAAGAACTTCAGAATGTGGTCTGTTACTATTTTCTTCATAGGCAACAAGATTTTGGATCAGTTAGTTGAAGGTATTTTAGAGTCTAGGGGAAATAATTTCAACTGGGAAACTCCATAGAATAATATTCAAATTTATTAAAGTGCTTAAATACAATACTTTATCTTCTCTCTGTAGTTAATATCTTAATTATTTATGTACAATAAATTTACAGTAATCTATATTTTTAGTTCAAAATCATGGAAATATCACATTAATAAGGAAGATTAATTATTCTTCCTGTAATTAAGTCTTCACTAACATTTACGTCTTTGTCTTAACAAGACTGTGTAAACTCAAACTACAAAATGTATAAGATTCAACAAGACCTTTGAATCCGGCCGTAAAGGAGGCAGAAAGCAAGAGTTTGTCTGAGAAGACGTATCTCTGTGGATTACTGAACTGACCAAGAATATAAATGTCAAAAGAATCTTCAGCTCTAGAACCGTCAGCTCTAGAACCTAATTCTCAAATCCATTCAAACTGTACACCTTAAGAGAGAACCAATATACGATCAGTTGTCAAGGATAGAGCAGGGAGCGGACTGACTACCTGCCAGTCTGTTGACCCGTCGTCAGGTTGGAACACGTGACCCAAACGTCAGTCAGCCGGACATAAACAATTGAACAATTTACCTGATGGTTCCGAGACATGTATGCTCTATATACACAAGAAACCCTACCTAACAAATAATAATAATGATAATAATAATAATAGTGATAATACCATGGTATTTTTATACATTAACAGATAATATAACGCCGAAAGTCTGCCACTTTTCTGACCAGGAATTGAGTTTGTCTGACATCTAAGTTTGAATCAATTATCCCACCTATCTTTGTGTCATCAGCGAATTTGCTCATATCACTAGTAATGCCCTCATCAAGGTGGTTGATATATATTATAAACAACAACGGGCTCAAGACTGATCCCTGTGGAACGCCACTTGTTACAGATCCCCACTCGGATTTAACCCCATTTAAGCATACTCTCTGCTTCCTATTGGTGAGCCATGACTCGATCCATGACAGCACTTTTCCCCCAGTGCCATGAGCTGCCACTTTCTTTAACAGTCTCTGGTGCTGTACTCTATCAAAAGCCTTACTAAAATCTAAATAAACAATACCGAATTCTTTATCTTGATCAACGGCCTCAAAAGCTTTGCTGAAGAAGGTTAATAAATTAGTTAGGCAGGAACGGCCCCTCGTGAATCCATGCTGAGTATCATTAATCAAGCTGTGCTTATCCAGATGGCTTCTTATATTATCATCTATAATGACTCTAGTAATTTGCCTACAGTTGAGGTTAGGCTTATTGGGCGGTAATTTGACGGTAACGACTTGTCCCCTGTTTTAAAAGTAGGAATCACATTAGCCATCTTCCACATATCAGACACTACACCTGTTTGAAGAGAAATATTAAAAATATTAGTCAATGGTTCACAAAGTTCCATTTTACACTCTTTAAGAACCTTTGAAAAAGGTTCATCAGGGTCCGGGGATTTATTTTGCTTTAACCGGTCTATCTGTTTGATAACCATTATGCTAGTGACTATGATATTGCATAATTTATCGTCTTCAGTCCCACTATAAAAATTAATTACTGGGATATTGTTAGTGTCTTCCTGAGTGAAAATCGAGAGAAAATAATTATTAAAAATCGAGCACATTTCATTCTCTTTGTCAGTAAGGTGCCCAGAGTTATTTTTAAGGGGACCTATCTTATCTCTAACTTTTGTTCTATAAACCTGGAAAAAAAATTTTGGGTTAGTTTTCGAATCCCTAGCAACCTTAATTTCATAGTCCCGTTTAGCTTTTCTTATCCCCTTTTTAACGTCCTTCTTAATGTCAATATACTGATTCATAAGATGACCCTCACCTCTTTTGATACGCCTATAAATTCCTTTTTTCTGTCCTGAAAGATATTGGAGCCTATTATTCATCCATTTGGGATCATTTCTATTTGACAAAAAATATGGTTATAAATGACCCTAATTTTTAAAGGGGTGGACCGGTAAGCCAGCGGAAGGCCTCGGTCAGATGACCAAAGCTCCAAAGGCGGGTCATCATCTGATTATGACCCGCGTCAGGAAACATTTATCCTGTTTCCTGATGAACCTTACCTAACCTAATTTCTATTCAATCTAATTTCCTTATATGGGATAAATGTCCTTTGGGCAGCATGTATTGTGTTAAGAAAGCTGTCATACTGATAGCTCTCTTCGTTACTCCAGACCACAGATGATAAGTGTTCTCTAAGCCCATTGTAATCTGCTAAGCGAAAATCTGGGACCAGTACTGAATTATCCCTGCTATCATACTTCCAGTCAATACTAAAGGTAATTGATTTGTGATCGCTTGTGCCGAGTTCCTCTGTAATTTCTAAATTATTAACAAGGGTTTCCTTGTTTGCCAAAACCAAGTCACAAACAGATCTACCTGGGTGAATAGTACATGAGTATAGGGTAGAGTCAGGTAGAGAATGCTGGGTACGTTGGAACTGTGACTAACTTGTAAGGGACGGGGGATGGGGTTATGTTGATATGTAGGATAACCATGAAGAAGTTTCTCAGCAAGAGATTTAGGTATGTTATAGACGCTGTTTTTCTCGTTGAAATTGTTATGCATACAGATAGGTATATGATTTCATTATTCTGCAGTACTGAATGCTTTCTTTTCTGGGGATAAGTCTTACGTTTCTGTAGCTAATTAAGCGGTTGTGGAAATATCGGTGTTGAACGCAGGCGTTCCTAAATCGTCCGATCTGCCTGCGTACTGGTGCTCCGAAATACGTGTTTGGAGGTCTCTGAGTGTTTCGCCCACTTACAATTTGTTGCAATCATTGCTACTATCACTCCACTGATTCATTTTTATCTATCCCACTTCTAATTAGTGATCCTCGAAATGCGCCCTAGCACACTACTAGGCAGTGATCCTTGAAAGATATCCTTGCACACTTCTAAGCAGTGATCCTTAAGATATATCCTAGCCCTACTAGGCAGTAATCCTGAGAAATATCCTAGCACATAAGTAAGCAGTGATCCTTGAGCACTAATAGTGATCCTTGAGATATATTCTAGCATACTATTTTGTAGTATTCCTATGTATATATCCTAGCGCATATACAGTCTAGCGACCTATTAGACAGTGATCTTAGACATACATTTATGCACCTAGATAAGCAGTGATACTTGCCATATATCCTCGTACCTTACTAGGTAGGTGATCCTTGGCAAATATTCTAGTACACTACTAGGCAGCAATTCCTGACATGTATACTAGCACATTACTAAGCAGTGATGTTTGACATATATCCTAGCATAAGTGACGCAGCCACCAAGAGAATATTTGAGGGAGGGGCGGCTAAAAGGGCTAAAGGCGATTCATATGAAAATACTTTTCCTTTATTATTTTTCAGTTAATGACTAATTCAGTGTATTATATTGACTAGTAATGATGAAAACACGACAGTTCAGCTTGTCCTGTTTCTTGACACAATATACTCCTAGTTCAGTAATATTTCAATATAAGTTTACTGTTATATGCTTAGATGACTTGTGTAGCGATGTCCATAATATAGCTCAGACTTCCCCAGTTTTCGGTCGCACCTGCGCACCCTCCACACCTCTTACCTCACACCCATCCCCTTCACACCCATCCCCTTCACACCCATCCCCTTCACACCCATCCCCTTCACACCCATCCCCTTCACACCCATCCCCTTCACACCCATCCCCTTCACATCCATTCCCTCTTACCCCTTTACGCAGATGAAGTTCAATATGAATAACAATAACCCTCGAAGCTATAAACTAGCTGAAGTAGAGCTTGATCATACAGAGTGTGAAAAAGACTTGGGAGTCATGGTAAGCAGAAATCTAAAACCAAGACAATAAGCCTTGACGCCTATTTTTCACACCCACCACCTATATTACTACTCTATACGCCCATCCCCGCCACGCCTATTCTTCACGTCCATCCCCCTTCTTCACGCCCTTTGCTTATGCCTACTCTTCACGCCCGGCTCCACGCCAATTCCTCCACGCCTACTCCGCACGCCCACCCCAGTAACCAACGGTCACATACACATTTGTTTTATATCTCAACCAATAAAAGGTATTTATTTCTCTTCCGGTCTCAATTATCTCAAAGGAGAATGAAGGAGTAAATAGAAGAAGAAATATTGATATTTATTTGGGGTATTTTATTGGCTACATGTCATATATTATTAAGTTCATATTAATTTTATAACATTATGCATGAATTTGTTTATTCAGAGCGCGTGTGCTCGTCCAGTTGTGTGTGAGGGGGAGAGACTGCTCCGAGTCCCGGCTGGGAGTGCCGGAAATGAAACCAGGAGTTTTTTCGTATGTGTGTGTATGTGTGTGTGTATGTGTGTGTGTATGTGTGTGTGTATGTGTGTGTGTGTGTGTATGTGTGTATGTGTGTGTGTGTGTGTGTGTGTGTGTGTGTGTGTGTGTGTGTGTGTGGTATGTGTGTATGTGTGTGTGTGTGGTGATTCACAAAACAATCATAGTTCATCAATATGAGGTTCACCAAAGGTTTACAAAGATGTTACAACTAGGTTCAGTTGCTTTACAAATGCAGGTGGTGGGTCAAGGAGAGAGAGTTACCTACATCTGGCATGAGTGAGTGGACAATAGATTCAAAGCGGGCAGTTGGTGGGCAAATATCAATGGATAGCATATTCAGAACAGTGGCTTGTAGGGACAGTCAGAGGAAGAGATACAGTAAGGGTAGCCGGGGTCAGGGTTGAAAACTAAGGTTCCTGCGCAGCTCTCTACGACAGCCTCATGACCTGCTTGTGTACAGTGATAATACTGTGGCTGGCAGTAAGAGCATTTAGCAAAGTAGCCGGCGGAGGAGCATGTCATTGAGGCTGTACAGTTAAAAGAAGGTGAGACCGTGCTAGCGCTGTCAGTGCATAGTATAATACAAGGGGCGTCTGCTACACATGTACCCAAAGCCACTTCAAAGTTGGACCCTGAAGGGCAGGTAAAATGATATTCTGGTTTGACAGCTCCAGTCTCAGGGCATACGTAGTATTTGGTGCAGTCGATGGGGTCTGGGACTTGTATTTCTCCGGGTTGACAGTACGGAACACACAGGTCACCACAACAAGCAGATTTGTCATTAACGCAGGTCTCCCCGTCAAAGTATGGTGTACTCGCCGGGCACTCCATCGGCCCCAAGACGTCGCCGTTCGTGCAGACATAATAGATGCTGCAGTCCTTCGGGTCGGAGATTGAGTCCACGGTTATGGAATTGTTGCATGTTAAGTGACAGACCGCTGGCGTGCAAGAAGGGTCACATGGAACGTCACCAGTACAACCTGAGGATTCGAAACTCGTACCTGAAGGACAAGATAAGGGGTTCTCCGTAGGCAAGTCATCATCCAGACAGACATAGTATCGAGTGCAGTTTGCAGGATCCTCTACCAGTGTCCCGGGCGTGGCGCCGGCGCAGTCTGGCTCACACAAGTCTACGGAGAGGGCCTCCGTGGCTCCCAGCAGCAATAACACACACGACACCTGTGAGTGTAGACACTTTACATTATTACCCTAACACACTTGGGCGCGCGTAAACGTACTCACGCATGCACACACACACACACACACACACACACACACACACACACACACACACACACACACACACACACACACACACACACATGACCCAGGTGGCAAATTTTCGGAGAATCGGGTGGTTCACAAAGAAAAGGAATCGGCCTCTCAAAGTAATTTTCACGGCAGAATCAACCTGAACCATGATCCTGCAGGAGAAAGCACGGCTGAGAGGCAAACAGGAGTTCATGAGTGTGTACCTCGATCGAGACAGAACACAGGAGGAAAGGATGATACTGAAAGAGAGAGTGCAAAAACGAAAGGAGGAATAGGAGGAAATGAAAAAGGAGAGCAGGATAACCCAGGAACAGGTGGAAGGACAAGCACACCCCCCAGAAGCACCTGCAGAAGGACTCCAGCCACGACACCCCCAAAGCAACTGAACAATCCAAACCAACCATCACACACCCATCCCTCTGTTCCCACCCCCTGCACCACGAACCCTGCCCCTACAGCAACCCCCTATGGGAGCTCTTCCTCCACCTCCACTGCATCCCCCCACAGGCCCCCACCAGGGTTCCTGCTCTCCCAACCCCAGTATTCCCCCAGGACCACAGTTACAGTATTAGAACAGAAGTTGAAGGTTTGGTACACAAATGCGGATGGATTAACAAATAAACATGAGGAATGGCAAGAAAGAATCAATGATAAGTCCCCAGACATCATAGCAGTTACAGAAACGAAACTCACGGAGATAATAACAGATGCATTCTTCCCACCAGGATACCAGATCATGAGGAAAGATAGAAGGGGCAGAGGGGGAGGAGGGGTTGCTTTGCTCATAAAAAACCGATGGAAATTCGAGAAAATGGGAGTCATAGACGAGACAGGAGAAAGGGACTACATAGTAGGTACACTTCAGTCTGGGGAGCATAAGGTGGTCATTGCAGTGATGTATAATCCACCACAGAACTGCAGGAGGCCAAGAGAGGAATATGAAGAGAGCAACAGAGCAATGGTGGACACACTTGCTGAGGTGGCAAGAAGAGCTCACTCCAGCAGAGCAAAGTTGCTGGTTATGGGAGATTTCAACCACAGGGAGATTGACTGGGAAAACCTAGAGCCACATGGGGGTCCCGAAACATGGAGAGCCAAGATGTTGGATGTGGTGCTGGAAAAACCTCATGCACCAACATGTTAAGGACACTAACAGAGTGAGAGGGGAGAATGAACCAGCAAGATTGGACCTTGTGTTTACCCTGGGCAGTTCAGACATTGAGGACATCACATATGAGAGTCCCCTAGGAGCTAGTGACCACGTGGTTCTGTGCTTTGAATACATAGTAGAGTTGCAAGTGGAGAGAGTAACAGGAGTTGAATGGGAAAAGCTGACTATAAAAGAGGGGACTACATAGGGTTGAGGAACTTCCTGCAGGAGGTTCCATAGGACAGAGAACTGGCAGGAAAGCCAGTAAATGAAATGATGGAATACGTAACAACAAAATGCAAGGAGGCAGTGGAAAGGTTTATTCCCAAGGGCAACAGTAACAACGGGAAGACCAGAACGAGTCCCTGGTTTACCCGACGGTGTAAGGAGGCAAAAACAAAGTGCAATAGAGAATGGAAAAAGTACAGAAGGCAGAGAACACATGAAAATAGGGAGATCAGTCCCAGAGCCAGGAACGAGTATGCACAGGTAAGGAGGGAGGCCAAGCGACAGTATGAAAATAACATAGCATCGAAAATCAAGACTGACCCGAAACTGTTGTATAGCCACATCAGGAGGAAGACAACAGTCAAAGACCAGGTGATCAGACTGAGGACAGAACGTGGAGAACTCACAAGAAATGATCAGAAGGTGTGTGAGGAGCTAAACAGGAGATTTAAGGAAGTTTTCACGGTAGAGACAGGAAGGGCTCTGGGAAGACAGCACAGAAGGGAACATCAAGAGGGAATATACCAACAAGTGTTGGATGACATACGAACAACCGAGGAGGAGGTGCAGAAGCTGCTAAGTGACCTTGATACCTCGAAGGCGATGGAACCGGACATCTCCCCATGGGTCCTTAAAGAAGGAGCAGAGATGCTGTGCGTGCCCCTAACCACAATCTTCAACACATCCCTTGAAACTGGGCAACTACCTGAGAAATGGAAGACAGCAAATGTAGTCCCCATATTTAAGAAAGGAGACAGAAATGAAGCACTAAACTACAGACCTGTGTCTCTGACATGTATTGTGTGCGAAGTCACGGAGAAGATTATCAGGAGGAGAGTGGTGGAACACCTGGAACTGAACAAGATTTTTAATGAAAACCAGCATGGGTTCATTGAAGGCAAATCCTGTGTCATAAACCTTCTGGAGTTTTATGACAAGGTAACAGAAGTAAGACACGAGAGAGAGGGGTGGGTTGATTGCGTTTTCCTAGAGGGCAGGAAGGCCTTTGACACAGTTCCCCACAAGAGATTAGTGCAGAAGCTGGAGGATCAAGCGCATATAACAGGGAGGGCACTGCAATGGACCAGGGAATACCTGACAGGGAGGCAACAACGAGTCATGGTACGTGAAGAGGTATCACAGTGGGCGCCTGTGACGAGCGGGGTCCCACAGGGGTCAGTTCTAGGACCAGTGCTATTTTTGATATATGCGAACGACATGATGGAAGGAATAGACTCTGAAGTGTCTCTATTTACAGATGATGTGAAGTTGATGAGAAGAATTAAATCGGATGAGGATGAGGCAGGACTGCAAAGAGACCTGGACAGGCTGGACATGTGGTCCAGAAACTGGCTTCTCGGATTCAACCCTGCCAAATGCAGTCATGAAGATTGGGGAGGGGCAAAGAAGACCGCAGACAGAGTATAGGCTAGGTGGACAAAGACTACAGACCTCACTCAGGGAGAAAGACCTTGGGGTGACCATAACACCGAGCACGTCACCGGAGGCACACATCAACCAAATAACTGCTGCAGCATACGGGCGCCTGGCAAACCTGAGAATAGCGTTCCGATACCTTAATAAGGAATCGTTCAAGACACTGTACACTGTGTATGTTAGGCCCATACTGGAGTATGCAGCACCAGTCTGGAAGCCACACCTGGTCAAGCACGCCAAGAAGTTAGAAAAAGTACAAAGGTTTGCAACAAGGCTAGTCCCAGAGCTCAGGGGAATGTCGTACGAGGAAAGGTTGAGGGAAATCGGACTGACGACACTGGGGGACAGAAGAGTCAGGGGAGACATGATAACGACATACAAGATACTGCGGGGAATAGACAAGGTGGACAGAGATAGGATGTTCCAGAGAGGGGACACAGAAACAAGGGGTCACAACTGGAAGCTGAAGACTCAGACGAGTCACAGGGACGTTAGGAAGTATTTCTTCAGTCACAGAGTCGTCAGGAAGTGGAATAGCCTAGCAAGTGAAGTAGTGGAGGCAGGAACCATACCTAGTTTTAAGAAGAGGTATGACAAAGCTCAGGAAGCAGAGAGGGAGAGGACCTAGTAGCGATCAGTGAAGAGGAGGGGCCAGGAGCTGAATCTCGACCCCTGCAACCACAATTAGGTGAGTACAATTAGGTGAGTACACACACACACACACACACACACAGGTTAAGGGAAATCGGCCTGACGACACTGGAGGACAGGAGGGTCAGGGGAGACATGATAACGACATATAAAATACTGCGCAGAATAGACAAGGTGGACAAAGACAGGATGTTCCAGAGAGGGGACACAGAAACAAGAGGTCACAATTGGAAGTTGAAGAGTCAGATGAGTCAAAGGGATGTTAGGAAGTATTTCTTCAGTCATAGAGTTGTCAGGTAGTGGAATAGCTTAGAAAGTGACGTAGTGGAGGCGGGAACCGTACGTAGTTTTAAGACGAGATTTGATAGAGCTCATGGAGCAAGGAGAGAGAGGACCCAGTAGCAACCAGTGAAGAGGCGGGTCCAGGAGCTAAGACTCGGCCCCTGCAACCACAAATAGGTGAGTACACACACACACACACACACACACACACACTGTCAAGTCTGACCCGAAACTGCTGTATATCCACATTAGGAGGAAGACAACAGTCAAAGACCAGGTGATCAGGTTGAGGAAAGAAGGTGGGGAACTCACAAGTAACGATCAAGAGGTATGTGAGGAGCTCAACATGAGATTCAAGGAAGTATTCACAGAAGAGATAGGAAGGACTCTGGGAAGACAGAACAGAGGAGAACACCAACAGGGAATGTATCAACAAGTGTTGGATGACTTACACACAACTGAGGAGGAGGTGTAGAAGCTGCTAAGTGACCTTGATACCTCAAAAGCGATGGGACTGGACATCTCCCCGTGGGTCCTTAGAGAAGGAACAGAGATGCTGTGTGTCCCACTAACCACAATCTTCAACACATCCCTTGAAACTGGACAACTATCTGAGGTATGGAAGACGGCAAATGTAGTTCCCATTTTTAAGAAAGGAGACAGAAACGAGGCACTAAACTTTAGACCAGTGTCACTGACGTGTATAGCATGCAAATTCATGGAGAAGATTATCAAGAGGAGAGTGGTGGAGCACCTGGAACGGAACAAGATTATAAACGACAACCAGAACGGATTCATGGAAGGCAAATCCTGTGTCACAAACCTTCTGGAGTTTTATGACAAAGTAACAGAAGTAAGACACGAGAGAAAGGGGTGGGTTGATTACATTTTCCTGGACTGCAGGATGCCTTCGACACAGTTCCTCACAAGAGATTAGTGCAGAAGGTGGAGGATCAGGCGCGTATAACAGGAAGGGCACTGCAATGGATCAGAGAATACCTGACAGGTAGGCAACAACGAGTCATGGTACGTGATGAGGAATCACAGTGGGCACTTGTGACGAGCGGGGTCCCACAGGGGTCAGTCCTAGGACCAGTGCTATTTTTGGTATATGTGATTGACATGATGGAAGGGATAGACTACGAAGTGTCTCTGTTCGCAGATGCTGTGAAGTTAATGATGAGAATTAAATCAGATGAGGATCAGGCAGGACTACAAAGAGACCTGCACAGGCTGGACACGTGGTCCAGCAACTGGCTTCTCGAAATCAACCCCGCCAAATGCAAAGTCATGAAGATTGGGGAAGGGAAAAGGAGACTGCAGACAGAGTATAGGCTAGGTGGACAAAGACTGCAAACCTCACTCAAGGAGAAAGATCTAGGGGTGACTAAAACACCGAGCACGTCTCCGGAGGCACACATCAACCAGATAACTGCTGCAGCATATGGGCGTCTGGCAAACCTGAGAATAGCGTTCCGATACCTTAGTAAGGAATCGTTCAAGACACTGTACACTGTGTACGTCAGGCCCATATTGGAGTATGCAGCTCCAACTTGGAATCCATACATAGCCAAGCACGTCAGGAAACTAGGGAAAATGCAAAGGTTTGCAACAAGACTAGTCCCGGAGCTAAGGGGTATGTCCTACAAGGAGAGGTTAAGGGAACTCGATCTCACGACACTGGAGGACAGGAAGGATAGGACGGACATGAAAATTACATATAAAATACTGAGAGGCATCGATAATTTGGACAGAGACAGAATGTTCCAGAGATGAGACACAGAAACAACGGGTCACAATTGGAAGCTGAAAATTCAGACTAGTCACAGGGATGTTAGGAAGTATTTCTTCAAACACAGAGTTGTTATGAAGTGAAATAGTCTAGAAAGTGGGGTATTGGACGTAGGTACCATGCATAGCTTTAAGAAGAGGTATGATAAATCTCATGGAGCAGGGAGAGAGTGGACCTAGTAGTGAACAGTGAAGAGGCGGGGCCAGGAGCTATGGCTTAACCCCTGCAACCGCAATTAGGTGAGTATTATTAGGCGAGTATACCACACATACACAATGAATACGCATATACATGTACACACGCGCACACACTAACACACCTACACAAGCACGCCCACACACATGCTCACACACGAGGCCCAACGACAATTCGAAAATGACATAGCATCGAAAGCCAAATCCGACCCGAAGCTGTTGTACAGACACATCAGGAGGAAAATAACAATCAAGGACCAGGTAAACAGGCTGAGGAAGGAAGGAGGGGAGATCACAAGCAACGATCTCGAAGTATGTGAGGAGCTCAACATGAGATTCAAAGAAGTGTTCAGAGAGGAGACAGAAGGGACTCCAGAAAGACGGAGAGGTGGGGTACACCATCAAGCATTGGACACAATACATACAGCGAAGCAAAATGTGAAGAGGCTGCTATGTGAGCTAGATACCTCAAAGGCGATGGGGCCTGGTAACATTTCTCCAGGGGTCCTGAGAGAGGGAGGAGAGGTGTTATGTGTACCACTAACAACAATGTTTAACACATCTCTCTAAACAGGGCGACTACCTAAGATATGGAAGACAGCATATGTAGCCCCAATTTTTAAAAAAGAAGACAGGCACAAAGCATTAAACTACAGACCAGGGTCACTGACATGTATAGTATGCAAAGTCATGGAGAAGATTATCAGAAGAAGAGTGGTGGAATACCTAGAAAGAAATGAGCTTATCAACGACAACAAGCACATTTTCAGGGACGGGAAATCCTGTGTCACAAACCCACTGGAGTTCTATGACATGGTGACAGCAGTAAGACAAGAGAGAGAGGCGTGGGTAGATTGCATTTTCTTGGACTGTAAGAAGGCGTTTGACACAGTTCTACACAAGAGATTAATGCAAAAGCTGGAGGACAAGGCAGGGATAACAGGGAAGGCACTGCAATGGATCAGGGAATACTTGTCAGGAAGACATCAGCGAGTAATGGTACGTGGCGAGGTGTCAGAGTGGGCGCCTGTGACCAGCGGGGTCCCACAGGCGTCAGTCCTAGAACCGGTACTGTTTCTGGTATATGTGAACGACATGATGGAAGGAATGACACAGAAGTGTCCCTGTTTGCAGATGATGTGAAGTTAATAAGAAGAATTCAGTCGAACGAGGACCAGGAAGAAGTACAAAAGGATCTGGACACGCTGCAGGCCTGGTCCAGAAACTGGCTTCTGGAGTTCAACCCCACCAAATGAAAAGTCATGAAGATTGGGGAAGGGCAAAGAAGACCACAGACGGAGTACAGTCTAGGGGGCAAGAGACAACAAACCACAGTCAAGGAAAAGGATC